TCCTAAACCCTGCACCCGAAATCCTACACTTAATATGTTGGGTCCGTTTTGCAGGGTCCTTACATTTTGGATCCGACTGCTCCTGAACTTGAAAGCTGCGAACCCTGAGGCTTCAAACCGAGGCCGGACAGCCCATGCCCCAAACCGCAGACCTATAATCATATTATCTTATATTATGCTATATCATATTATCCATACTAGGTTATCTTGTGTCAAATTAGATCCTTTAACCTCCAACCTGCACCCTTCCGCAAATCCCTGAACCCGACATCCGACTCTGCGACAGCCTTTTGAAACCTTAGTCACCCTAATGTCGGGGCCCAAACAATTAAATAAGGTTTTGGGGCCCTTAATAGTCTAGTTAGAATAAGGGGCCCCCCAAAATAGTCTAGGTAACTATTAAGGCCCCTATACTAAACCCCACACCCCCCGGGCAGTCATTGAACTTGTAGTTCTGAAGGTATCTCAGCTGCTGTTCTGCATCCTCCGGCGCGCAGTTCAGACTCGAGGGCATAGGCTGATGGATTTCAGGGGTGTAGAGAATGAGTCTTCAGGGGCGTAGAAAACGGCCTTCATGTTTAGAACAAGGTTTGGGGTATGAGAGTGCCTTCCGAGGAACCCTAAGGAATCATATGTAGCTCCTGAGGCTTGCATATTGGGCTTTAGTGGCTGTAGTTTTGGGGTTCGGGCGGCTAGGGATTTGGATATTTCTCCAAATAGCTCCCTTTGTTGGGTTCCCCAAATAGTACGGCGTCATTATCAAAACCTCTATGAAGAAGAGGGGCCCTGAAACCCTAAGCCCTAAACCCTAGACCCTCATTTAGTTAGAGAACTACCCACATAGAACCCCAAGGCAACCCCTATAAAAACTCTATAGATCCCGTTTAAGGAACCCCCTTGAAAAAGGGACCCTAAAAATTAGCGAACTACCTATTTAGGGTAGTTTAGGGTTTAGATTCTCTGAGAGTTGTGGGAGCTTGAATAGGGATGAACAGGGCTTTAGAGGGCTTCTAGGGCCATAGAGGGTTTTTTTTTTATGAAAGCTTGAGTAGGGTTTCAGAGGGTTTCTGCTATTAAGGGCCTTAAAGGGTTTTGTAGGGTTTCATGGCTCAAGCTTTCAGAAAACCTTGGTATTTTGACGGAGCGCAAATGCTTCGGGCGACCCTATGATTGTGACCATCAGGACCGGGCAAGCTTCCCGGGGGGACAGTTACAGACAAAGAGCTATCGTAACTTCTCGTCGTATGGATAGTCACAACTGTAGCATACAGTTGTTTCTAGCTAAGTCACCACAAAATGATTGTAGCAGTATAGCTCTATAGTCCATCAACAAGCTGCATGCTATACATTAGTGGTGATCGTAACGCATCACGGGAGGGTTCTGAACATCGGAAGGACCAAACGAATATCTTCCTTACAACAGCGCTATCATCATCACCACCATCTTTATTTGCCTGAAGCCATTTAGGCCTTGCTGCCCCTCAGCTTTCGACGGGAAACGGGGCGGGCTTGTTCCAAAACACGGTTCGGAGGTCCATCTCGTCGATACCAGGCGGTTGGCCCAGGCATGTGAAGGCCACTGAGGTGAAGAGCTTCTGCAACTGGCAGGCAGGAAAGGGCAACTGCGGGATTTCAGCTGTTATCTATAGTCTCCATTGTAGTTCCTTTTTTGGTTTATAACCAATAATACATAAAGGATTTGGTACCCCCAAAAAGGAACTACAATGGAGACTGCAGGTAAGGGCTGCTTCGAGCTCGCGTCCCTCAAGTTCCGCACTAACCCGGAGACAGCAGTCTTCGAGCCCTTCTTGGCACGCGTGGAAGAGCATGTGATGTCCCGATCAAGCAACAGCCCCTGAAAGCAAAGGCACTGCATTTTACAGGCAGCTCAATGCATACTTTTCTTGTGCAGGAAGCAGCCAAATCGGCAGATAATCTTTGCAGCACACGTGCTGAACGTCATTAGCTATGGCAGCTTCGCTTTTCTTAGCAAAGCCCAGCAACATGCACTTCGGGATCGCTCCGCGCGAAGCTTCCTTCGACCCCAAAGGGTCCAAGTACTAATATGGTAGCTACTTTGTAGGATTTGGGCCCCCAAACTATATACTATACTATAACTTGGACCCTTTGGGGACGCGTCTCTACAAAAAAAGCGCCAGTCCGGCGTCGACTAACGGACATGACGCGCGTGAAGAGACGCCTTCGTCCTATGAGCCCTGGTAGGACAATGCGAAGTCTAGGGAATCCTCGAAACTCAGCAGCTGGATGGAGAGATCTGACTGTCCTTGGTGGGATATATCGGAAAAGTCGTCCAGGCGGAAGACTGCGGTAGGCGCCAAAAATCAATATGTGGCAGCCGCTGCTTCTGGCTGAGTTGATGAAGAGACTTGTAGCAGTACGAGGGGAACTGTAGCAATGACAACTGAACCACGCGCAGATTACGACGCGACATTCCACATGTCCATGTCTACGGAGCTATGCCCAACGCACTTGTGGAATTTTGGTATGTCTGTGTCAGCTAGGAGTGGGGGTCGGGCTTTTGCTTGCTCGTGTTTATTGTAGGGGCTAAGGGCTCTACAGGATCTGCGAGTCAGACTGACAGTCGTCTGCAAGAGCTCCAATCTAGTTCGAAGAAGGAGAAGTTTTTCTATATTTTATTGTATACAGTACATCATATATGTATATATAATGTTACATATTAATGGCTATGGATTACTTGAAATTACATACTGTATAACAGACTTGGGATTGACTTTGGGTTGGGGCTCTCCTTGAAGCTCAGATTCCGGTTTACCTTTCTGGAATTACCGAAGCTACCGGGCATGCTACTGATGCTCAGGTTTGACTGCTTGTCATAACTCGTGGTCATACTCCTGCTTATACTCCGTATCTTTACACCTACCATGGTCAGCACCCTAAACCCTAAACCCTAAACGCTAAACCCTAAACCCTAAACCCTAATTTTCGCGATTCCTGGATCCCGAGCTTCATCACGGCGTGTCTGTCGGGTGGTTTACTCGCTGCTTCAGACGTGTGATCATGAGTACGGAGTAATACATCTGCGTACTTCTGCTGGTGATTTCATTAGTGAACATAAAACTGACCTTAACTTGACTGCCTAGCATCCACAATCCTGAGATGCCAGATCATAAGGCTGAAGTCGTCTATTCCCCGCATCTTAAAGGGCTTCGGGTTTCGGATTTACACTTTACACCAAACCCTTCAACTGGCTTTCACGTCACCACCGCACGGACAAGCCCAGTTGGCCAAAGTGGCGGCCCCTGCGCAAACGGTGAACCTCTCGCTCCTGCACCTGGCATTGAGACCGGCTGGCACCACAATGTTGAACTAACAGTCGCTAGCACCAGGATCCACAAAGTTGTCCTAAACAAGTTCTCGATCAAACACCGTCATCAGGGTCACCATGAGCTCCATCATCATCATCACCATCATCATCATCATCACCTCATATATATATATATATATATTCATACACATACATATATACATACCCATAGACCCGAAACACATCCGATCGCTATCATCTCCCTACCTGGGAGTAAGTCTCCGAAGCTGCAGGGCCGGGAGTCTCCACCAATGTGGGGCTTTACTTCAAACATGAATCCACGCTGTATTAGACTTTACCAGGGATGTAAACTAGTGCATTTCTTGGTTCGAAGGATTTGAGAAGGGGCCTAGAACGGCCTAAACAGTAACCCTAAACCCTAAACCCTATATAAGGGCAGGTATGAGCAGACATGGTTGTGGTACTTTGCTGAAGGGCTCGCGGCCAGCACTGCGAAGCAAGTGAGATGTCAGGGATGCCACCAATAAGGTGGGTTTCGGGTTTAGGGTTTCGGGTGGGTTTCGGGTTTAGGGTTGACTGGTTCAAAGCAGAAGCCCGGACTGGCCAATACGATACCCTTTTCCTGCCTCCAGTCGCCATGCTGCCTGGAGACAGGCTTTGCCACCCCACGACAGCCCAGTACATAAGCCGCTCTACTTCACATACATAGGTTAACCTTGTGATGAAGGTAAAAATAAATACATCTTATATATACATATATACACACACACCCCCCGACCTTCCCCGACCCTAAATCAGACAGCATCTCAATCTTTCGGGCATCGGTAACCGTGTATGCCTCCAGCATGCACGGCCCCACCGCCAGACGGCCCGCACTACGTCCAAATGTATCAAAGGTCTCCCAGTCTTTAGGGCTTAGGGTTTAGGAACCCAGAACCAAAAAAAGAACTCTAAAACTGTTCATATAGTCCCCAGAACCTTCATCTTTGAACCACCTAGGCCCAAAGCCCTAAAAAGTCCAGCACTTGAAACCCCAAACCCCCGACCTTAAAGCACAGAGCCAGAACATCCCAGGCTCCGAGTCTGCAGCATTAAAGCATTAACTCTTCTAGTAGTGGTATAGAATGGCTGTAGAATGCTGAAACTAGTATTTTTCATGCTGTTATAGCATTTAACTACACAATTTTATCTATTGTTCTGTATTATTACTACTGTTCTTACTAGTATTATCATTCTCGCCTCCTCCGCACCTTCCCGCAGCGCCGACTGCAAAGCCAGGTCTCGGCGAAGCGCCAGGCGCTCGGAGCGCGCCAGGGCAGAGGCCTTCGGACCGGCCGGGATCGACGTTTAGGGTTTAGGGCGTAGGGCTTAGGGTTTAGGGGCTCAGGGTTTAGGGGCTTAGGGCGTAGGACTTCGGGTTTAGCTAAGCCTTAGGGTTTGGGGATTTATTCCGGTTTGGGGATTCGGGTTTAGGGTTTGGGGTTTGCGGTTTTGGGCTATAGGGGCTTAGGGCTTGTAGGGTCTGGGGATTAGGGTCCCTATAATATACAAACCCTAAGCCCGATATTTAGAGATTTCTGGCGTGCCATACCCTATTCGTTTTCACGGTACCTATAGTTTTCGATAAGACAGGTGCTAGCATGTTCTAAAGACGGCGCTGGCAAACTAACCAAAAAGGAGGGTTACGACCCTCAACCCTAAACCCTTTGTATAGGTATACAGCTCAGGATGAACAGGGCATGGGGCTTATTGAGTGATTACTTAGGCTTCACAAGCATGGGGCTTAGGGGGCCCTGGTAGGTTTCGACACCCTCTGAATTATTCATTCTAAAGACACATCATCCCGGTATGGGATAAGGTCTCACGAACCGCAATAAGCTTTGCTTTCCCGGGTTTCGCAGGATGGCAGGGGCCCTTAACCCCTTAACCCTGTCCCAGCTAGCAACCTGAAAGCCAGCTACTTTGACGCGGCTGCGGAGTATCGTGCTTCGAAACATTCGAACCTTACCAAAAAGCAGATCCGAAATTTCCGGCTTCAACCTCAAGCGCAAGTAAGGCAAGAATTCAAGACAGTCATGCCAGCAAGCAAGCAATAAAGCATGGGTGTATGTGCATCGCATGCAAGCGTGTATCATGTGTGTTGCCTGCATGAGGAAAAGAAGCCTGCAATGTCATGTGTATGCCACTCATCGTACTGCAAGGTCATGCAAGGGAACGAGAAACATGCATGAGGTGTATGTAATGCGATGCAATCAATGCTGCCCACTGTGCTGCAGTATAATGTGACTTCAGGAACCGCAATGTATGTCACTGTATGAAAGGAAGGTGAGCAGGTACGCAGGTATGGCATGGATGCATGCATGCATGCATGCATATGTAAGTGCATATTTTGTATGCAAGTACACACGATATGAATGGGAGAGCCAAACACACAACACTAATTAGACACATATCCTTACAGTTGTATAGATGTCTTGCACCCCCGTTGTTCACATTGCTTGCCTCACATGCAGTAGACTGGAAAGTGCAAGGTGGTTAGATAAAAATCGGTAGAGTATAGTAGTATAGTATAGTTACCATAAACAAAACAAGGAAACCTGAGGAATCCCATGAAACCACGTGTTATCATGTGGTGATGTGGTATGCCTCTTCCTCCGCACGGCGGCAAGCTGCGCGTAGCTCGTCTGGCACCCGAAGTGCTGCCGCGAGCTCCTTTTTGAATACAATCTGGGGACCTGAATAATCAGAAGAGTGTTTTGGAGCATGTAAAACTACAGCTATGCAGCAATAGGTACAAACAAGCCCTGTGCAACGAGTGTTTTCATAACATATACCAACTTCAGCAGTATGGCAAACACTACTGGAACAGTATAAACCAAACCATGTTCGGTAATCTTGCGTCCGAAAAGCAGACTTTCGACATGCTTGAGTGTAGGGTTTGTTCTGCTGGGCTTCTGCTTTCGCACTCGAGGCTCTGATGCCTGGCCTAAGCAAATCATTCTAGCAGGATAGGACTAGTCATCACCATCATTCACAGACATCGTCGAGAGCCTGTGGCCCTATTCATGCCCTTTTGCATCCAAAGACCATCGCGTTTTCGGCCACTGCGGAGACAGAAGCCCCTACGTCTCGTTGGTAAGTTTCCTGTACGGTCTCCCCGTCCTCCTGAAGTTCCGAGCGTCGTTGAAGAACGGACTCCTATCAGCAGCTGTCAGCTGATATGTAAACTGAGCGAGCACCGTGCTACTTTCACGTGGTGACGTAGTGGGCGCTGCCTTGCCCCATGCAGTTGCAGTACTCTCGCAGACCCTGTGACATGCAGATACTGCGTCACAGCTATCTTGTAAGCAATTTGGCATGATAGTGCTAAAGAGGTGCGAAACGAACGAATCAAGGCAAAGGCGCAATCAAGAATCACAAAATCGAGCGAATGCGATTGATCCCGGGAACAAAACATGGGATGATGGTGTGCTGCTCGTACGGAGCAGCCTGATTGACATACTTCCCGTGCTTGGGCATGTATATATATATATGTATATGTAGAAAGTTAAATATACATACATACAGGTTTACAATGATGAAAACTTCCCTCTATACTTTTCTGGTCGAAAGCATGCTTCTGCTGCCAGAGCTAGACTGCCCTGGCGGAATGTGTAGACGATGAGGCTCTATAGAAACCCTCATAGAAATCCCTTACAAGAACCCTTACCGGAATCCTTGAAACCCTGCTGGTCCTAGAACCCTTAGCCCGACACGCTAGAACCCAAATCCATCCCTGAACCCAGAACCCAGAATCGTAACCAAAAACCCTCAACCCTAAACCCTCGACCATTAACTGTCTGGTGCTTAGTAGGGAATGGGGGAATGGGTTATGGGGACTAATATAAGGGACCTTAAGGGACTATCATAGGGATCCATTCCTCCATTCCCTACTAAGCACCAGACCCTAAACCCTAAACCCTAAACCCTAAACCCTAAACCTTAAAGAGCCGTGGCTGAGAGCCTGGAGAGTCTCCCACTCCGAAGCCATGGATGCAACGGCCTGCGCGCAGCTCGGGCATTTGTAGGCAGTGTGGGGTCTAGGGTTTAGGGTTTAGGGTTTAGGGTTTAGGGTTTAGGGTTTAGGGTTTAGGGTTTACGGGTTTGGGTTTAGGGTTTACTAAATTTAGGGTTTAGGGTTTTGGGTTTTGGGTTTTCACACATACAAAGATGAGATCGACTCTACGCGACAGTAGACTCATCACGTTACAATACATTCGATTACTTCAGGTTACATACACAATTGCACCTACATACATGCATACATACACACATACATAACGACATACATAGATACAGGCGTACATACATACAGACAGACAGACAGAAATCAAATAATGTTAGGGAATCCTGCAAGAACATAATCGTTATACAGGTACCTAAACCCGAAACCCTACGCCCTGAACCGAAAATCTCTACTATGTGCTCCCTGCCTCCTCTTCGGTAGTCAGGCGGGCTTTGGCCTGACCTTACTGGAGGAGAAGCTCATGCTACCGGTTTATACGGGTTTAGGGTCTTGGCTTTAGGGTTTCGGGATACAGTTACTATCCTTGAGCAGACCTCGGGTTTCAGGGTTTAGGGTTTTAAGGTAACAGAGCTTCAGGGTTTCAGGTGTAAAGCTTAGGGTTTAGGGTTTAGGGTTCAGGGTTTAGGGTTTAGGGGGTTTCAGGGTTAGGATTTCGGGAAGTTCCCGAAGTTCAGAGCTGAATCTCGTCGAACCTGGAGACGCAACCCGATCCTCGCTGAGGCCCCAACAAAGCTCGCTCTTTAGCTCCTGGAGACAGTGACATCTTGGTCTACAGCACACGGTTTAGGGGTTTGGGGGTTTAGGGGTTTAGGGTTTAGGGGTTTAGGGTTTAGGGTTTTAGGGTTTAGGGTTTAGGGTTTAGGGTGCATAGTGACTACTTATTATGTCATGTGTCATGACATGAATCCTTTCTGCAACCCTGTGGACTTGCGGCACATGCTGTGGAGAATGGCATGGAACGCATAGGCACAGCCGTCCTCGTTCATCCTCGAAGAGGGCCAAACGTTCTCCTGTCAGATCGCTGCATGGCTGTATCAGTTGGACTAGATGGACTAGGACCATGCGGACATCAGCAACCCTATACCCTAAACCCCTGAACCCCAAACACTATGAAACCTAAAACCATCAACCCTATAGACCTAACACCCTAAACCCTAAAAACCCTAAACCTTAAACACCAACCACCTAAACTCTAAGCCACAGCAAGCAAGGCCAGTCCAAAGGCTGTAGAAGTGAAGGCTATCAGAGCATGGAGCGGCACAGTGTCAGGTAGTGCTCTCGATAATGTAGGGGCCTTCATAGTTCGAATAGAGTCCCTTAAAGGGGCTGCTTTAAGGCTTCTAGTAAGGCTAGTATAAGGGTTCAGAAAAAAGGGCCTTAATAATATCAATAGGTTTTTGGGGTTTGTTATACCATTATCATATTGAGGAAGCTCCTTAAAGTAGTATTGGCAAAAACTTGGGCCCATGAGGAACCTCCTTAAGGTAGTATTGGTAAAAAGGTTAGGCCCGGAGACTGCCGTCCTCGAGGATGGCCCGACGTTGCGCCACCAGCAGCAACTCTGCTTCTGCCTGCATCGACTCCTGTCCGAGGCATTTTTAGGGCTTACAGGGTTTAGGGGTTTAGGGGTTCAGTGTTTAGGGTTTAGGGCGTTGAACGGCGACTGCAAAGTTTGCTGGCTGCTCCTGCCTCCGCATGACCACGGCTTTGTGACAGCTTCGTGTGATCACGAATCGGATCTGCGACAATTGCTGGGCTGTGCGATGCCGTAACAAAACAAAAAATATCATCTTGACACATCCGCTGATCATCGTGGTCAACCTACATTGAGCAAGCCTCCACGCAGACTCACACAATGCTGCATCGCCGTGGCATAGCAACAAGAGCAAACATGCTGACGGCGACGACAGCATGGTATAGGCGATATGTACTGCCTGGAAACCATCAAAAATGCAGACTCAAGTAAAGTCATCGACGTGGAGCTGGACATTAGCCTGAGGACCGGTACTAGAACAGCAACAGTACCAACAACATCAGCCGACAAAAAACAATAGCAACAACGACAGCAACAGCTACAGCGACAACCACAGCACACAACCCCTTCCACCTCCAAACTGCGTTTTACGATCTGAAGATCAGGAAAAGGGGCCATAAGACAAGCAAGGGACACTACCAGTAACAACGGAAGCAATGGCTACAGTAGAACCTACGAAAAACACAACCGGAGAGACCAACGTCTCACTATCGATAATACCAGAAAAACTGTTGCACCACCAATGTTCATTCGAGATGTTCAGCTAGAGCACCTCTGCTTCGACCTTCCAACGCTGCGTAACAGCGACAAGAAGTCGCCTGTCCGGAGCTATGCGACAAGATGAGGTTGGGATCATGGCCATGTAGGTCAAATCTGACTATGATGCCATAGTCAAACACGCATACACCTGTTTATGAATGATGTACATGAATATACGAACATGTACATGGCTGTGTATGTGTTTAGGTGAACCATACACCCACACACAGTGCTTGTCAAAAGTTCGTCTGCCTGATTGATTGCGTCTTTTAAATCGAGAATGACCAAAAACAAGGGCTTATACTTCGAGTGGTGAGGCTCCTGTAGGATGCTGAGATCTAGCAGAACCTAGCACTCAACCAGAACTACCACCCAATCTGCTGGCCCTGAACCCCAGCCATACCCCTAACTTCTGAAACTCGAAAGCTGCTTGTAGACCTTGCCAAAACCTCTGAGTTCCTTGAAACCTTGCAATTTTTCGGAAGCTCTCGAGAAACACTCATGAAACCAAAGCACCCTGAAGCCGAAAGTCCGAAACCCCAACCCCCAAGTAGGGGCCTTCATAGTTAGAATAGGGTTTTGGGGGTATATTAAGGGTTTTTGGGGTATACTATACCATACAAAGATAATTATCGTAAGGAACCCCAAAATTGGCATTGGCAATCATTAAGGCTTCTATCTTACCGTGAACACATCTTGCAAGCGGCATCCAGGCGCCCCAGAGCGTGCGCAGCTCCTGGAAGCGGCGCCGGCGTGCCAGAGCCGAAATTCGGGCACGCCTCGCTTGGTTGCTATGTGTATATATATATATACATATATATATATATATATAGATATATCTATATATATATATATACTTATTTATTTGTTTATAAGTTTTCACTACAGGTTTACAGGGTTTGGGGTTCAGTCTGCGTGCTTTCCGCATCAAGAGCATGTGAAAAAGTAGATCAAGTGAAACTCGATCTTATGGTTATCAGGGTCTAAGTGCAGTGTTCAGACAGAAGCATGTTGGTTGGGAATGCACGTGAGGGCATCTGGGCTTAAAGAGCACGTGTGAAAGTCGGGCACGCTGTACCTATCGAAAGCTATCCCAAACCTCCCAGGTACCTACCATATAGGGCACAAGAGCCCCTAGGGCCCTATGTAGTAGGTACCTGGGGTTAGGGTATGCTGAGATTTCTGGAACTCTTGCTCGGGCCGGTTCTTCTTTGGTTTCGAGGGGTCGAGTTTGTGTAGAGCGTAGGCTTGACTGGGTCCCTGATCCCTGATAATCGATGTATAAAGGAATGTATATATATATATATATATGAAAACAGAAACAACGCATACATGTGTATGTAGATAGATCGATCGATCGGCGAAACACAAGATTATTGGCTTGATCTGGCTTTATCTTATGATTCAAACACTACGTCTTATATGCTGCGCACCATCTTTTATACTCTCTCTCTCTCTCTATATATATATATATATTTGTATATGCACACACACATACATACATACATACATACATACATACATACATACATACACGTGCATATGTTTTCTAGCCTGGCTCCGCCTCCAACCCCTCGCTTTCGCCAGGCCCGAGAGCAGCTGAAAGGCCGCCTCGCGCTGCTCCCAGCCCCGCCGGTCCTGAGCTGAACCTACTTCCCAAAGGGTCCAAGTACTAATATGGTAGCTACTTTGTAGGTATTTGGGCCCCCAAACTATATACTATACTATAGCTTGGACCCTTTGGGTACTTGTCCAGTATCCTACAGAGTTTAGGGTTTAGGGTTCCTATATAGTTTAGGGTTTAGGGCTTAGTATCCTACAGAGTTTGGTGTTTAGGGTTTAGTATCCTATAGACTTTAGGGTACAGGGTTGAGTATCCTACAGAGTTTAGGGTTTAGGGTTCCTATATAGTTTAGGGTTTAGGGCTTAGTATCCTATAGAGTTTGGTGTTTAGGGTTTAGTATCCTATAGACTTTAGGGTTTAGGGTCCAGTATCCTACAGAGTTTAGGGTTTAGGGTTCCTATATAGATTAGGGTTTAGGGTTTTGTATCCTGTGTAGTTTAGGGTGTAATATCCTATATAGTTTAGTGTTTAGGGTTTAGTAAACTATATAGCTTAGGGCTTAGGGTTGAGTATCCTATATAGTTTAGGGTTTGGGGCTTAGTTTTTTTTTGGTTTAGGGTTTCGGGTTTAATATCCTATATAGTTTAGGGTTTAGGGCTTAGTATCTTATAGAGCTTAGGGTTTAGTAGCCTATATAGCTTAGGGTTTAGGGTATAGTTTAGGGTTTAGTATCCTATATAGCTTAGGGTTTAGGGTTTAGTATCCTATATAGTTTAGGGCTTAGGGTTTAGTATCCTATATAGCTTAGGGCTTAGGGTCCAGTATCCTATATAGTTTAGGGTTTAGGGTATAGTATCCTATACAGTGTAGGGTTAAGGGTTTAGTATCCTATAGAGCTTAGGGTTTAGGGTTTAGTATCCTATATAGTTTAGGGTTTAGCATCCTATATAGTTTAGGGGCCTTTATAACTAGACTAGGGTTATGGGGGGGGTTCCTTATTCCTGTTTATAACCATAGTATTATATACTCCTAAACCCTCTTCGAATGATTAAGGTCTCTTTATTAGTTAAGGTTTAGGGTTTAGTATCCTAGAAGTTAGGGTACATAGTACCCAAACAAGGTAAAAGTTACCTACTCTGCTACCTCCAGTATCCTAGGGGAACTAGAGGTTAGCCTTTGGGAATGTATAGGGTTTTTAGTACCCAGTGAAGTTAAAGCCTGCCAGTTCTACTGGTATGTGAAATGGGGCAAAGGGCCTATGAGCTTTGACAGGGCGGGTTCAGGGTTTAGGGGTGAGTAGGCGGTGTTTCCAAGCCTTTATAGAAGAGGACTTACAGTCAGGGTGTTATACGGTTGAAGACAGGGCCTGTATTACGAGGCCCCTGCCTCCTCTTAAGTTTAAGGTAAAGGGTGTAGAAGTGAGGGTGTAAGGTTTGGTACCTGCTCTTTGTGGCTCCATTGCTGAAGCTGAGTGCACTTGTACGTTGAATACCTGTTGCGTTGGTCAACTTCGATCTGTCCGCAGCCAGTGGCTTTTATTATGTGTGCTGTTTCCAAGCCTGTTTCCAATGCAATGCCCTAAATACCTCAAGCCAATAAATCTGTGGGCTTCACAGGGTCAACCCTAAACTCTCACAGTAACCCTTGTGTTCATCATAAACCTGAAAGCCGTGAACCCCCACAAGAGGCCATTTTCTGGAACCGCCCAGGTCTCTCTCCAGGCTGTGACGCAGCGCCGACGGTGGCTCCACAAATGCCAGTGGCGCAGCCTCATGCAGTCACGCAGCGCCCCCATCCAGTCACTCGGTTTTGGGCTTGTGGCTCAGAGGGCCTTTCTAAGTGCACTGAGACGTTAACTGCATGCAAACATTCCGGCCCATATGGGTTCGCACTGGAGAACCGACAGGCTTTGGGGTTTAGGGCCTCGGGTTTAGTGTGTAAGGCAGTGTAAGGACTTTAGTAAGGACTGCTGGTGCCCATGTTGCTTTCCGGCACACCCTAGAGTAGTGTACTTTTCAGCTACACATAGCTGAAAGGTACAGCATCGGTCTACGATGCACTTGGAGCACCCGACGGAGCAAAACGCCGAGCACGCTTTTTGGCTGAAGAAGTGATGGGCATAATCCACGGCCCCTCGCCGGATCTGCATTAAACAGTTCGAGGTCGTTTGTCGAGGCGACTCTTCTTGGAATCCTCCCCTGGGATCACATCCACGTCAACCAGCTGCAGCTGAACATGACTACTGTCCCCACCGCAATTCGCCCGTCCCCATGTAACGACATCCCCGACCTGTCTCAGCGCGGCAAAGGCAGCAGAAGAGGCACAAAGCTGCTGAACACCTTGGAGACGGTCTTGGACGGAGCGGCTATCTCCCCCATCTGCATGGGAGCCCCACGTCACCACACGTCCGTCTGCCAACAAGGCCGCAAAAGCAGTGGAGGAGGCCCGGAGCTGGTGCACGTCCCTCAGCTGACTTTGAACTGAAGAACTGTCACCTCCACAATCGGGGGCGCCCCAGGTCACGATGCGACCATCCCCACTGACTGCTGCAAAAGCTCCAGACGATGCTGTAATGTGCTGCACATCCACCAGCTGCGACTGGACCGGGGAGCTATCTCCACCACATTCATGTTGTCCCCAGGTGACCACACGGCCATCCGATGAGATAGCCGCGAAGGCATGTGAAGAGGCTGTGATGCTCTGCACAGTCTTCAGAACCTGGCGGCTCTGACCCCCACGGTTTGGTTGACCCCATGTTACCACACCACCATCTCCAAGCAAGGCGGCGAAAGCACCAGTAGTGGCATGAATCTGCTTCACATCCTTCAGCTGGTCCTGAATAGAACCCGTGTAGAACCCCCTAAAGCCAAACAAAAACCCTAAACCCTAAATTCCGGAAGCGGCTCCTGTACCTCACAGCTTCTCCCGCCGTACCGTTCCACGCCCCAGGTGACCACCCCTCCATCTCCAAGAAGTGCCGCGAAAGCTTTTGCGGTCGCCACGATGGTCTTCCTCGGATGCTGCAAGATTACTACATGCTATCGAATTATTCACTATGTAATCTGTAGTTTACACGACCTACAATGCATTATGTATAATATTCTGTACTACGAGTATGTACTAGATATTATACACTGTAGATGTAGATTGCACGTTATGTGTTAGATATTAGATACCACGTGGATTGTAATTTATATCATACATTCTACACCATACACTACAAAAGATAAACCCTGTATTTGAACAGAATAGAAGTGGCATCAAATATACATATATATATATATATACACATACATATGTATGCTTACACAGTTGTACAGTTCATTAGTTTTCTTGTCTGTTGAATACTGTGTTTGTTATGCCCTATCTGCTGTGAGTTTGAACACTATAGGTTATATCGTTATATATTTTCGATTGTAAGTCATGCAGTGTATGTCGTTTGTGACATTTTGCATATCCTATCTTGTATCTCTTTCTGTCTCTTTATATGCGTGTATGTATATATATATATATGTATGCATATACATATATATATATATGTATATCTTGTGCTGTGTGCTATATCATGTATACTGTTACTATGCACTGGTACTACGATTATGATTGGGACTATGAAAACTGCAGTGGTTAATTTTATCGGTGTGATTCCAAGTATTTCTAACTGTACTAATTACTAGTTTTCTGACTGTGTCAATGTATACAACGGAATGTGTATGTATCCGCGATACAAAATAAGATAAGATAATATTATAATATAATATAGCCGAATGCAATGTAATAAGACACAGCAATTCTAATATGTATCACGTTTTTGTGGTGTTTTGTAAACAACATATTATGTATTCCGTGTTTGGTAGTATATGCAGGCTGTCTGTTCGAAGTGCCAGGATCAAGCCCCCTAACTACTCCCGTGCATCTCCTTATGGGCACTCTCTCAGCTCACAAACACTGTAGGTCCTACAGTTGGCGCTGCATCTCTGCAGTTGCCGGCGGCCCGGCCGATCGTTGCTGCAGTCCAACTCCAACCTCTGCGTGCATCCGGGCCACACATCTTTCAGAAGCGGCTGCACTATGCTGCCTTGGCCGACAGCAGGGGCGGCAGCTTTGGCTTGGGGTTGAGGCGAGGCCTTGCAGCCAGCGTCTGCTGTGGTACAAGGTCGTTGGTTCTAGCGCAAAACATCTTAAGACCATTGCACTCACACAGTGAACTTGGACAACCGTGTTGCTGTCGCCACCACTTTCTGCAGATCCCCATGTGATGACACTTCCGTCACCGCGAATTGCTGCAAAGGCATACAGCGTCGCCTGTCGCTGTATGTCTTCTTTGCAAGCAGGGGCACGCCGTCTTAAGTCACTAATGATCCTCACTACCAGAACGTGCTGCTAGAGACGTCTCAGGAGCTTGAATCTGGCGGACATCTCTCAGCAGCATCCGAACACTGCGGCTATCCCCGCCACATGAAGGGACACCCCACGTCACTGCATCTCCATTACCAAGAATCGCGGCAAAAGCACCAGATGAAGCATGAATCGACTGCACGTCTGTCAAGAGGGCCTCCACTCCGGTGCTGTTGCCACCGAAGAAGCCACCACCCCACGTGACGACCGTGCCATCACTGCGGAGCAAGGCAAAGGCTCTCGAAAACCGACCAGACACCAACTGCGCTCGTCGTCGGAGCGCACCCAAGCTCTCCCCGTCCACCAATCCCAGCTCGGCCACCGAAGTGGCCCCACTCAGCGTCCGGCCACGAGAATCGACCAGATTCGCAAGGCCCAGCCCGAATCGAGTCTGGGCAAGCCTGGGTTATATTATAACAAAGAAACCCTACTTACTGTACCATCTAGCCCCATTATGGTAACTTAAATTTATAAGTTCCTGATAACAGCAACCCAGAAGCTGTCGGAGTTCATCGGCTGTGGTCTTCGGCTCCGCTGTCACAGAGGTTGTCTGCCCGCTGAGGAGCGATACTGTCAGCGTAATGGCCATCAGGCATATGGTCAGTTCTCTAGCTGAGGGTCCCCCACTTAAGTCCCCAATATAGTACAGCACCCTTGTAAACAGGACCTTAAAGGGAGCCTAATTTGCAGAACTACCCATATGGCACTTGTGTTGCCATTCTACGGCTCGACGCGAAGACGATGCCTAATAACGCAATTACGATGTGAGGAGGCATCGGAAAATCATTTAAACATGTCACTTATGCTTGCTTTTACGAAAGCGATTGCTATCACGACTGCTGCGACGGTTACATGGCACCTGTTGTAACTGTTGCTGCTGTATTGCTCTTATGACTGAACTATATCATCTAAAACCGCTGCATGTCTTTCGCACCATATGCTGAAAGTCGCACGAGCACTCTTACAATCGAATCATTGTTTTGATGGCTGTCTTGCCGATCTGGACAGTCATAACAGCAATGTGTCGCTTGCTGGTATCTCTTTCAAAGGCCCATGTCGCAAAGGCCCCTATAGGACCCCTCATAGTAACCCGTATACTATAACCCTTTATAGAGACCCCATTTAACCCTTATAGCAACCCTTGCAGAAGCTTTATGCGGACCCATTGCCGAATCCTTTGCTCTGTAAGCCAATCTCCATCCGGCTTTCGATATCCCTGAAGCAATCAAACAACACCGCTCCTGCAACCTAACTCCAACCAACCCAGACTGGCACATTGATGGCATGAGGTGCGAAGTACAAGGAGTCTAGAGAATTTCGGTATTTCTCTCAAGCTTACAGCCAGCGTAAGCGCATCCCATTGCTCAAGGACGACTTAACCACCCAAGACCTCCAACCCCGCACGGCTCAGAAGTGCCAGCTCCTACCGCAGCACACGCAAGCCCAAAAAATGTAGGGGCCTTCATAATTCGAATGGAGTTTTGGGCTCCTTTATAGTCTACCCAGGGGCTCCAATGTAGTTCCTTTTTGGGTCTGTTTGGTTTTTTGGTAAGGAATTATAGTAGACTATCCAAAAAGGAACTACATAGGAGCCCTTAGGTAAATATGGGGGTTTCCGAAAATAGGGGACCCTAATATAGTACCCTAAATAGTAGATCCTTATTATAAGGACCCCAAAATAAGGTATCCTAATTTTCGGAAACCCCCATATAGAAAGGAACCCTATAAGGAAAAATGGCCTTCTCTGCAGGAAGCCGCTCCGGAAGGCGGCGTGATTTCGGCGCCGGACCGCCAACCTCCGCATTCTCTTCAAGCTGCCGCCAAGTTCAGAGATGGAGGTTTGGGTTTAGGGTTTAGGGTTTAGGGTTTAGGGATTCCCTAAACCCTAAACCCTCCCAACTCTCAAGCCTCAAGGCTAAATGCACGAGAACTCTGGGCAAGGAAGCCAACCGTGGGAGTTCAGGGTTTGGGTTCTCTGACAAGCGTGGTGATCCTAGCAGGGGTTGGGGTGGAGGACTTAGGGTTCGGTTAGGGTTTGGGTTTCGGGTTTAGGGTTTAGGGTTTAGGGTTTAGGGTTTCGGGTTTAGGGTTTAGGGTTTTGCAGAAGAGGGTGGGCGTCGTATAGGTTCCCACATCTCTAGTAATCTCGGCCTTCGAGGTCCCAGGCTTTCCTGGAAAAGCCGAAGCCCTAAGCCAGAGACGCTAAATTTTCAACCCTGCCTATAGTCTCCATTGTAGTTCCTTTTTGGGGCTACCTTTTAGGATCCTTAATATACATGTGGTTAAACCAAAAAAAGGAGCTACATTGGAGACTATAGGTACACCCTAAGCCCTAAAACCGTAAAGCCCTAAACCCTAAAACACGAAAACCCGAAACCCCAAAGCATCATTGTCCCAAAGGGTCCAAGTACTAATATGGTAGCTACTTTGTAGGTATTTGGGCCCCCAAAGTAAATACTATACTATAGCTTGGACCCTTTGGGTGTGTCTACGGCTAGCTGGGCGCACTTTGCAGCAGTCTGGCGCCATGCCGGTAGCAGCCTGGACATCCTCGGTTGGCTTGGGAGACTCGAGTAATTTTGTAAAACGTACGTATGTGATTCTATACGTATACATGTATATATATATATATGTACACACACATGCATAGATATGATGTGTGTGCATATGTATGTGTTTACATACATACAGGTGTATGTGTATGTATATATATATATATATGTCTGTCTGTCTGTCTGTCTGTCTGTCTGTCTGTCTGTCTGTCTGTATGTATGTATGTATGTATGTATGTATGTATGTATGTATGCATGCATGTATGATGTATGTAGGTATTTGTGTAAGAGGTTGTAT